AATTTTTTAAGAGTCCGTATGCATAGCAAAAGGCTACATAACAAGCAACAATGCCAGACAGGAGATACCTTCCCTTGAGTTGCTGGCCAAGGTAGTTCAAGAGACTCCCAGACAGTAACCCAGCACAAAACTGGGAAAATGAACAGCAGACCCCAATCTTATCTAAAGGAATAGTTTCCCTGACAACTAACTGTTGCTAGATGAGGAACAGCTGATCTTCCTAAAACAAGGATCTCTAGATAGGCTGACTAGATTCAGCAGATGGACAAGCACTGGGGAATGGCTAGGGATGCTGACACAGTGGACAGTAACGAGGATGACAGAGCATATGGGCTCCAGTGGGGGGGGGTGGTTATGGGAGGGTACCATTTGGGAAGTGGTTATATAGATGAATAAGATTATTTGGGATGTTCTGTATGATATACACACAAAAAAACAACAAATTTTAAAAATTGAGTTATATTTGAAAAAAATACAATCAATCACTTCAGGATTCACCCAGAAAATATGACAAATCAATTTAAAGTCATTGCTTGCTATGTGGATGACAGGAGAGAGGTATCATGCCACCTACTAAGCTGTTGTCCAGTGGGTCAGTATTTATACACAGTGGTTTTTCATACACTAAATAAGGGGTGATAGAGTGAAAGGACTCCAGAGTTTAACCACCAGCATGTAAATAGGTGACTAAAAGTCCTCTAAACCCCAAGGTGTGAGGGAGAGGTAGCTAAGCGAGGAGGTATTACAAAAGCCGAATTCACATGAAGCACAGAATTCAGGACAAGGCTGTCCTGTCCAAAATCACCCCAGTCTGCCCTCCTCTGTGTTGTCAGCAGCTCCCTGCAGGGGTGTCTAGTGACCTTTCAAAACTTTCCCTGTCATGGGAAATGTGTTGACATTGCTCGCAACAAAATGTGTGAATCATCAGGGCAGCATTTCAGGAATGATTTCCATGCCACTGGAAATACATAATCCCAAAGACATGAGCTTGTAATTTTAGAATTTATATGAGTAGAAACAAGAGGTGTTTTAGGAAGCTAGGGGAGCTACCAAGATCCCTTAGAACCCTCAAAGTTACATGGCTATGGAGTGAGCTGATCAGGTAGCACATGAAGCTAGGTTTGATATGAACAGTGAGTGTCTCAAAGACCTGTAGCTACGATGACTCCATCAGTGTTTTAATTTTACCATTGAGAACTACACAGGTCTGCTCCTCTGTGCCCAGTGAGGGCATTTCTACCCCAAACTATATCCGAAGACCTCTCCCAGAGGCACCACACTGTTACACCATGACCTTGTCATTTGTTTTTCTTTTCCACAATTTAAATCAAACTGTTCTGAGGCCAATTTTATTTATAAAATGTTACTAATATAAAAAATTCTCAATAAATTGATGTTGTACCCTCATTTCCTCTGAATTGAAACATTCTCTCCTAGAGAGAGAATGGAGGCTGATGGGAAACTAATGAGACTTACAAAATTCAGGAAGTTCATGAAACCCATGAGGCTGAGGAAGCTCAGAAGTTATAAAAATCAAAGTTCCCTCTCCAGGGTTATAAAAGTGGTAGACAACTGCTGGGATGCAGCTTTCCTCAGTCATCATCACCCAGGTCTTGGAAGGTCTTTTGAGTGGTGGAGACTTTGAGTCACCCATGTTCCTGTAAGTAACCCCAACAAACTCACTGATTCATCAAGCTAGGGTGTGTTTCTTTGGTCTGTCATTGCCAACCTATTTGAGGTGACTAGACATTTGTTCCCACCTCCCCCGGAAAAGTCACACAACATAACTAAAACCTGAACAGGGACCAACAGTATCAAAGATGAGTTGGGAAGGAGGAAGTTGAATGAGCCTTACAGTGGGTGATAAGTCACGCAGTTGGGGCTGAGCTATATGACAGCAGAGGGTCTGTGGGAGAATGGTGGGGCTCTGCGCTGCAGTGGCAGTTGCAATGGGTGATAAGACATAACTGAAGCTATCTGAGAATGGGGTGTCCTTGGGGGGAATCCCAGACGATCATCTTCCTCTGTATAATAACAGGTGGCATGCCTCCTTCATGAACGGGATCTGCTTCGTGAGAGAATATGTTACTGAAAGCAGCACATATGGGATGGCATTATAAAATGGCAGGGGAAGCTGTTGTGTGGCCTTTGCTGTGGGTGATGAGCCATGCAGCTGAGGTCAAGCTGTCTGTCCAGAAAGAACTTACCTGGGTAAAGGAGAAACTACAATGGAAGATAAAGTGTGGGTGCTTTCCACTACATTAGCCAGGACTTGGCAGGAGAAGTGGAAAAGGGGGCGATGAGGTGGGGGTGCCAGGTCGCTGTTTCTCACAGATGGCCAAAACAAAGGAAGGAGAGAGCAAAGTAGATCTGAGCTAAATAGCCTTTCCTGGAATCCAAAAACTAGGAACTCGTGGAAAGACATGGACGGTAAGGAGGGAGAGAACCAGATGGCAGTGATGAGTGTGGCTGTCCAGTCTGACCCTTTATGCAGAAGAAGAGAAAATCCATGACTCAGTGTGCAGGTGAAGCCTTAATAATGGCCCAGTTCAGGACGCTAGATAATTGGAATATTCTGCTTCAGAACTATTTGAATTTGCAAAGCCATCTAAAAAAAAAAGTTAATAAATAAATAAAGAGCCTCTCGTAGCCTAGCAAATGAGACTGTGGGATAAAGCAATAGGGGCGACAGGGATCAGTCTGGGTGCTGTGAAAGTAGGGAAACTGGGGGTACAACTAGCTATTCCTCCTTGGGAGAAAGGCTGCATAACCTGAAATAATAAGAGGGAAATCAGTGCCCGATGGACTGACTCATGTGAGCCATTAGGGACATGTGATTATCACTGGCTGAGGTTCCCATGACTATCAAAGGCTGGCAGAAAACAGAAGGCTAGGCATTACTGAGAGCTGAGCATGAGGGAGGTGGTATTTGATGCCCAGTTCACCAGGCCAGACAGGACTGTGTTCCCAGGAGATTTAAGAAAGAGGTGGATGCAGCATGGACCTCAAGACTGGTATATAGCTTTGCTGAGCCCCATGGTAAGATATGACCTTTACAAAGTGAGAAACACTTTGGAGGACTGAATGATTTAGCCTGCCATATAAATCAAGTTCATAAGGTGCTAAAATATCCAGAAACTCTTGAAAATGGGAAAAGAAATGAAGGTTCAATCCAGGCCACTTGAAAGCAAATATTGCTAAGATTTATACTAATGAGAATTTCTAGAGATAAAGACCAACAAAGCCAAATACCATGTGAATGGGCATTCCAGAGGATTCAAAGCCTGAAAAATAGTTCATGGAAAATACAAATGATAGAACAGTGCAGCCAGGTAAAACTAGGTTTATCCTAGAGGTGAACAATCATCCCCTCAGAGCATGTTGTATGCATTTCTCCCTGAAAGAAAGTATACTGGGGGTAGAGATGGTTTGCAGGGCCTGGAGTCCTTTCTGTAACCAGGGATGGCTTGTGGAAAGGCAAGGGCCACAGCTCTGCCTGAAGTCTGTCAGAGCCAGGGATCCAACTCAAGCAACAGGTACCACAGGCTGCAGCATTGCCTCGTCCTCCCTCAAACCTGAACTGGGTAGCACAAAGCAATGCTGTTGAGACCAACATGGAAATGCTACAGGGTTGCACAGCACCAAGATGAGGAGGCAGGATGGCTCCTAGAAAATGACCTTGGATTAGAAAGCTAGACAAGGGAGGTAACTTCTACCCATGCTGCTGAACCCGACATTGCTCTTTTAAGGAACAATTGATAATAAGCAAATAGGATCTTTTCATTCTATATTAGATCTTGGTAGTGTTTCATTTTAGAATCCTCTTAGCTGATGAATCCCATGACCAGCTGGCTTTTTTAAAGTAGGCCTTCAGATAGCCTGTCTGTCCTTTATTACAAGGTTGTATTATATAATGCTAACCACTGAGAGCATCTTACAATTTGGAAGAGCATCTATAAGAAAAGTAAAACCAACAATTGAAGAGTTTGAACAAAAGTAGCATGGGTGGGGAGGAAAAGGCACTCCCAGAGGTCATAAGGTTTTCAAAGGAAAAATCCCAGTGCCAGGAGTGGGATATCTCCTTCTGAGTTGATGGCCAGGAAGGCTCTAGAAGATTTCCAAACCACAAGCCTATTGCCAGAGGTAATGGTTGCTAAAGACACAGTGAACTACGGGCATGAAGAAATCAAGCTAGGACTGAGCTGCAAATCCTGTCCTTGTTGGTTGGCTGTAAGCTCTATGCAGGCTACTGGAGAAAGGTTGTCACCAGCAGTCTTGCTTTGTTATAGACTCTTGATGCTACAGTACCAACCTGTCAGATGAAATTATTCTGTTGGTGCAATTGTGGCATGGCGGTTGTGGGTGCAACCAACTGATCTATGCTTGTCTTTAAGGCCCACTCCACAGGAGGGATCTCATGTCTGGTACTAGAAGCCATAAGCCAGGTCAAAGATAGGTGGCTGGGGAAGGCATGGTTCCTAGCTTAGGGAGAGGGACACTGCTACTGTTTTGTTAAACTGTTATGATGTGATGATCAAATTGCCATTTAAACATCAATATTTATGCCCATGACTGGCTGTCAGCCTTCAGTGGAAAGACTTACTTTTTGTGGTAGGCAGCAGCCGCTGCAGTGTCTCACAACTCCTAAGAGTAGCTGACAGCTGGTGTGGCATGGTGGCCCAAAGCTCAGTCATAAAGGGAAGAAAACAATCACACATCTACATTACGCCCTCCAAGACTCAATAAATTGCAGAAGAGGTGCCAAAATGAACATAAGAGCCAGAGAAAGGGGCAGAGTGTTGTGTAGCTATTCCTTCTGAGTGGAAATGTTCCCTCTTAAAGGGAGAGTACGGACTCATCAGACTCAGGAAGTAAAAAAACTTAGAGGGATGCTCATGGAACTAAGGAGGCTGAGGGAGCTCAGAAAGTTGTAAGATTCACAAGGACTTTCTGGAAGGTGAGAAAAGTAGTCACCAATTGCTGGGGGAGAGGAGACTTTTCTAGTGGAGCTCTAGGAATAGTCTTTGTGAGTTGTCGCCATACTGAGGTGGACTTCTCAGTGACGTGGCCTCCTTAGAGTCATCCACTGCGGTGATGACACGTACAGCAGTTCCTGAACAAAGAGAGTCTAACTCTTAGAGTCATTTAAACTAAAAGTGAGCCTGATCTGTTCTCAGAACGGTTCCTTTCTGATTTGTCTTAGAACTGTTGAAAAAAAGGACTTTATATTTATTTAAATGGTATATCCACCACAATATGGGAAAGGAATGAAGTACTTTGTCTTAAAGAATCTTTAAATGGGGAATAAGTTTGCCTTGTCTGACCAGATGGCAGACAAAGCCACAAGCATGCTGTCAACCTAAGCCCACGTGTTATTTTGAAACATGAACTGTGGATAATTCATGGCTTTCAACATGCATCCAAGGTCTCTGCTTTCAGCAACAATATTTTCATGAAATTCATACACACATATGTTGTTATAGGTCAAGACAAGGAAAGGTCACGAAGGAGAAATAGGCAACGTAGTTTAAGATTAAAGCTGTGTGTTTATCTCAGCTCGCAAAAGTTGGTTACAAGAGGAGCCCAAGGCCTAGGAAGGTTGTTCACACTGTTTTCCTAAAGGCTGCCAGATTCACACAGGCTGGTTACACAGCTGGAACAGCAGACTGAATGGAAGGGTGTTAAACGGCCTTAAAACACAGGATTGACTTTGGTTACAGGGCTGGGAACAACAGGCAGGATTCCCGGGAACGTCACTCCCATAACCGGCCCTCCTGTAATTAACCTGTCACTCATGCTCCTTTAAGTGACCCCAATAAACTCCACTGGTTCACCAAGCTAGACTTGGGTGTAATTGTTTCTTTGGACTGTTGGTTAGATGTTTGTTCATGTCTCACAACAATTGTTGATAGATAGAAAAAATGTTCAATGTATGTTCTTTTCTTCAAATATCAGTACTTTAGAAGGGAAGGTTCAAAGAGAAGAAAATTAACTTAAACAACCCATCTCTGCTGGGCTATGAAAACAGCTAGGGAAAATCATGGTCCTGACTTGTTTGGGTTACTAATGTCAACTGACATCAACTGAGCAGTAAAGTGTGACCCGTTGAAGATTGGAGGAGTGTAGCAACCAGCTAGACAAGCTCCTAATTTGCTACCTTACCTAGAGAAAATGAAATTTAAAATTTGGGAACACTTACAATCAGTGGTAGAGCTCACTCTTGGGAATCTTTATGCAGCTAAAATTAAAGGAATCCTGGCCTGGTGATGCAGACCTCTAACTCCAGCACTTGGGAGGCTATGGCAGGAGGACTGCTGAAAGCCTGAGACAAATCTGTGCCACACAGCAAGTTTGAGGCCACCCCAGGCTACATATTCAGACACTGTCTCAAAAGAAAAATTTTCAAGCTAGCAACAAAAAAGTTCAATAATAGGAACAAGATGGCATTCTCAGATAAGCCAAGGCCCCTGGGAAAATGGACAGGGGTTGAGAAGAAACCCCTTCTAGCGTCCAGCATAGGGAATCTAGTAGCCAGTTTAAAAGGAAAAACCATGTCTATTGTGTCTGTTTCTCACATACTTGTAATGACTATATTTCCTTTATAGTTGAAAGCACATGAAAATATTTCACCAGTGTGCCCCTCCAGGACCTGGAGGCACTGGCCAGTCTGAACATCCCAGATTCTAGCTGTCTTATCAGAGCTGCCTGTCAGAAGACGGTTCCCTTGGGGGTTGAAAGAAATCTGCAAAACAAAAAGAAAAATGATTACAGGCTTGTGTTTTGGTTCTCAATAGATTTTCATTGGCAAAAAAGGGGGACATAACTAAATACTTGTCATCTCTCCAGCCTAGTATTTGTTCTTAGGAAAGTTTCTTCCTGATGGGAAAAATACTGTAAGGACTAATATATGAAAACTTAACTCTAGATGGAAAAGTTTAATTGCCTCCTCTCTCACAATTCTAAGGATAGACCAAAGCACCCATATACTTTGAGTGTCCTCCACCCAGCTTCTCCCCCAAGACTCCTGATTCTCTTCTCATTCAAAGAAATGGAGCTCAGCTGTGGGTGAAAAGAAGTCTCCTCCATCTGCAAAGTCAGAATGTTCTGTCATTGAAACTACACAAACACACTCCCTCCTCCATCTGTGCCACAGAATAGGCTGATGCTCAGTTCTGCAAGAGAATTTTCCATTTACTGCCACTCCAGATTCAACCTCTGAGGGCATTGCATGTCATGAGTGTGCTTACATATATGTAGGCAAAACCCTCTGTATTAGTCACTTTTCTGTTGCTGTGATAGAAACACTGACCAAAGCAATTTATAAAAGGAAGAGTTTATTTAAGCTTATGGTTCCAGGGGAATTACAGTCCATCATGACAGGGAGGCATGGCAACAGACGTGGCTGGAGGAGGAGCGGAAGCTAAGCTCTACATCTCCCAGGAGGCACAGAAAGCAAGAGAGCAACTGGAGGTCCTGCAAGGCTTAAGAATTCTCTAAGCCCATCCAAACTGAAGTGCTTCCTCCAGGATGGTCACACTTTCTAAGACCTCCCAAACAGTGCCACCATCAGGGGACAAAATGTCCAAATACTTGGAGCCTATGGGGGACAGTTTCATTTAAACCATCACACCCTCATACACAAAAAATAAAAACAGTAAAATATTTTTAAAAGGTAAGTTATGGGATATTAGTGCAGGTGATCAATACTTAACTTCTATTATCCTGTTTATATTAAACATACTCTTTATTTTTTGACAGTAAACACACTTTCAAATGATACAGCAGCTCACCTTTGAGATTTCCCCCTCATGACCTTCCAGTTTGGTTATGCATTTTCTTGTGGCTGCACTGTAAACTCTCGCTGTTCCTTTTTGAGAGGAGGGAGCACAGAGATCAATTCATCTGAAATACAGGACTTTGGACCAAACACTTTGACTTACCAGAATATCTACCCTATGACATACAAGCACTGGGTTGAGTTTGTGTTGCCTATGTCAAAACTCACACTTACCCTCTAAATGCAAGCTATCCCCCTACAGAAGAGGGCAAACAGGTCTTGCTCTCTGACCCTGATTTTATTAAAAGAGATCATGAACCCCCAGGAGAAGAAAGAATGAGAAAAGGGTTAAGAAAGAAAAAAGTATTTCAAAGGAAAGGGGTATCAGCAGGTTTCAAGAGGCAGGTAATAAAACAACCAGCACGGCATGCGAGGTCTGAGTCTGTTCTTGCAGAGGTGCACAGCCCAGCTAAGGGCACTGGCCACTACTCAGTGAGCACAGGGCAGCCTCTAAGACCCTCTGCACAGAAAAGCTATAAAATTTTTGTTTCTCGATTATCCATCCACCACCCCCAGCACCCAGAAGAGCCAACATATCCTGGAGATTCCATTAAAAACAGGAGGGAGGGAGATGGTTTAGCAGTTAAGAGCACTGACTGCTCTTTCAGAGGACCCAGGTTTGGTTCCCAACTCCCACATGGAGGCTAACAGCTGTCTGTAACTCCAGTTCATGGGAATCCAATGCCCTCTCCTGACCTCTGTGGGCATTGCACAACATGTGTTGTACACTTATATACATGCAGGCAATATGCTCATATACATAAAATAAGATAAAAATAATAAAAATAAAATATGAAAATAAAAATTATTAGTTCATATTCATTGAATAAAACAAGCTTCAGTGTGGCATTTTAAAATATGTATATAGTATATTTTAATCTTATTTTCCTTCATCACCCTCACTTTGTCAGAATTTCTTAAATGGTTATCAAAGATTTTATGCAGGCATGATGTAGAGTCACATATAGCCAACAGGGCAATCAGAAAGACCTATTTGCCCATACATGCTTAACAGAGAGTTGATTCAGACACAAAGCCTGTTTGTGTATGTTCTAAGGACAATGACAGTCATAATGTATCGTGACATGCATTCAGAGGATGGCACAGATACAGTACAGAATGTGGCCATCACAGAGATGCTGATTACATAGTGTCATGTGAGGTCATGAGAGAGGCAACAAAGAAGTTTCTTTGTGTCTAATGTGGCCATGGATAGAGATAACATTATCATGAATGGGTGTCCATCATAGTTAAAGGGAGATGAATGATGTAGACATGACATGGTGTTATACATGATCATCAGAGAAATGACCTGGGCAGAGTACAATGTAACATGCCATCAGAATGGAGATGACACATACATAGTTTAGGGTGAAGATGAGACAGAAATATTGCAGCAGCATCTATGATAATCAATGAGATGCTCCTGATATAGCACATGTTCACATGTATGATTAGAAGTTGACATAGACATAGCCTACATTGTACAGGGATAACATGTAATGCAGATATATCATAGAATGATGTATGGCTTTGAAGGAGACTAAGAAGGCACAGAAGAGCAACATACATGGTCATCCAGAGATGAGAAAGATGTAACATAACATCATACGTGTCCTTCATATATATAACACAGAATATATCATCACACATGGCAGACGAAGATGATGCAGAAGTATGTAGCATTGCCATATATAGCGTATCACAACTGTTTTCAAGATGATATGCACACAGATACTCATAATGTGTGCTTAGCAAAGGAAAGAACCTCAGGTTAAATACTATGCATAGTTCTCAAAGAGCTAATGGAATCATAACGTCGCAAGTGCGTGTAAAGCATATTGTGCAGAGACACTACGAACCCATGCATGGCTGTCAGCATAACCACCATCAATGATGATGTCACTCACAGCACAGCATTATACAATCTTCCTTGAAATTGTTGTAAGCACAGTGTGACTACAGTGTCTGCTGTGAAGATCACAGTATCAGCGGTGCACAACCAAAGGATGACTATAGGATTATTTTCTGTTTCTCAGGGTCACAAGCAATGAGAACGTAATGTTGTGTCCTTCCCGGTTGTCAGGGAAGTGGGAAATCATTTTCAGTACCACACATGCTCATCGGAATTGTCGAACATGAAAAACTGTCATCAGTGAAACAAAAATATCACATCCTACGCATTTCTCAAGAACACAGTCAGGACAGGGTGGGATATTATGAATTAGCCACAGTGAGGTAAACTATAGTATGTAATCATAAGAAGTTTTCAAGGCATGATTCAGGTATTAGTATACATTATATGTGGTCATCAGGAAGAAGTAGAAACTATAACATTTATATGGCTGTAAAATCAGCGACAGAATAATTCATAGCATTGCACATGGTGATATTTACACCAACAATTACACTGTAGTATGATCTGTGAGAAATATCACATAGCTTTATACATATTTGACCCAGATTAAAGCCTGTAGATGTTTATATGGATATGTAATATGTTGTAGAATCAAGGATATGCTGTACATTCAGTATAGTGTCATATGCAAATTTTTAAAGCTCCCTAAAATTTTTAATTATGTGTATGTGTCTATGTGGGAGTACAACTGCCCACAGAGGCCAGAAGAGGGTGCCGGATACCCTGTACCTGGAGTTATAGGCAGTTGTGAGCTACCCAAGGCAGGTGCTGGGAACGGAACTCAAGTTCTTTGCAAGAGTAGTGAACACTCTTAACCAGTGAGCCATTGCTACAGCCCCTCTTATGCAGATTTAAAAAAATACAAAAGGTATGGCACAGAGCCACATATTGTATCACTAAATAATGGGAGCATGGTACAGCATCAAAAACGGTGCCAGGAACTCTTCCCTAGGAAGTGTAGCACAGTAGAAGCTCTTCAAGGACATGGCACAGTGCACATGTCATAGGATCGTCGGGAAGAAAAAGAAAAAGCAGTCATTGTGTATCATAATATATGGCTACCAGAGGATGCCACAGAAATAGCATCCACACGGGTTTGCACATTACATTGTGTGACATCACACATAAAGGAACATGTATTACCTCATGTAGATATTTGAACACCACATGCAACTTTGATTTTACAATATATCATGTCACTTCTTTTAAGTGTACATTATGCCATGGATAATTATGGAGACAGTGAAAGACCCTGTCTCCAAAAGAATGAGATGGGAGAGTGATTGAGAAGGGCACCCAACACCCTCCTGTGGCACACACACACACACACACACACACACACATGCATATACACCATACATAAGCACAGAGAGAGAGAGAGAGAGAGAGAATGACATCAATAGATACAACAGCATCAGACACATCCTTTCTGAAGATGATCCACAGTGTGTTTGATCAAAAATGTCATAAAGAAATAGTACATAAATAACTCAGGATCACACGTAATATCAATGATGTGCTGAATGAAACTGAGAAGACTTACAGTTGTATCACATGTATTTCATAGAGATGAAGTTGCACACAGTGTGGCTTCATATGTAGCTGTCAAAGACAGGGTGCAGCTGTATTACAGCAAATAGGCAGCAATATGAATGTGACACAGGCAGGACTGGGCCGATCACTATCATCCACATATAACTTCATATGCAGTTATTAAGGTCATCACTCAGATAGTTTAGACGTTCAGAGGTTATCATCAAGGAGATGACACTGAAATCATTTAGCATCAGAAAGAATTATCAAGGCAAAGGCACGGTCATGGCATTGCACGTAGTGTAGTGTTTGAAGTGATGACCCAGGCATCTTGCAGCAGTGAGTACAGTCTTCATGAAATTGACCCACTAAATAGTATTCTATGTGGGTATCAAAAAGAAAGGATAAGTACACAACAACATAGACATGATATTTAAGTTGATTATTAACACAAAGGCCATCATCAAACAGATGGCCCAAACAGTGTTATTTAAATATCATGGATGTCATAAATCATATTATAGTGCTGAGCATCAATATCAAAGGGAGGGTAAAAACAGAGTTTGCATATCAAAGCTATGAAAGACATGAATAATCACAGAGAATCATATACAACATGCTGCAGCAATGCCATACCCTGACACATAATTAAAATATGACGCACACTGAGTTTTTGTTGTGTGTTCCTGCCACGGGTATAGAGCAGATATCATGTGGCATATCACTAGGGTTTTGCGCATAGAATAGAAGAATTATGCATGGTTATTGATCTAGCTAGCTTCTCTGTCACTGGGATAACACTCTGACCAAAGGCAAGTTGAGGACAAAGGGTAATCCTGAAGGTGACAGCACATCATGGAGGGAAGCCAGGGCAGGGCCTCCAGCAGGAGCCGGGAGGAAGGAGCTGAAGCAGAGACCATGAGAAATGCTGTTCACTGGCCTGCTTCCTCTGGATTGATCAGTTAGCTTTTGAATACAATGCAGGCCCACTGGCCTAAAGATGGCACCACCCACAGTGGACTAGACTCTCCTACATCAATTAACAATCACAAAATGTCCCACAGACATGCATGCCCACAGGCCAATCTGATGAAAGAAATTCTTCCACTGAGGTTCCCTCTTCCCTGGGGTGTCAAGTTGACAGCCAGCATTAGCCACCACAGCCATCAAAGGAGGCAAGACGGCCAAACTATAGCACCACATACAGCACTTTAAAGACTATACAACAGTGTGACATGTTGCACAGTTGTCATGAACACAGCCTATGCATGACTACAACATGATGCAGACATACAATGTCATGTGATGGGCAAAGGGATGACAGCAATGCAGCACCATGTAATATGCTATAATTAAAGAGATAATACGTATATACTATAGCATCATAGTAGTCATCAAGTAGATAAAATAAATATATCAAATAATCTAACATAAATTTCAAGGATTGGCAAAAGATACTATAGTGTTATAGGTGACTTTCTTAAGCTTATGACTCTGACACGATGTTGCATTAGATGTGTTCATCCGTAGAATGAGGCTGATAACTGATCATCAGTGAGCTGACAATGGACATGAGATGTGGATAGAAGGGAAGTGCCATGGCCTGGTGTAGCATCATATACAATACCCTCAGATCCAGTCACTCAGTGTGCAACATCATGCCTAGTGTTCAAGGAGATGACGTACAGAATGGTACCACACAGAGGTATTTATGGTGAGAGTTCAGCGTAGGGGCCTAAGCGGTCATCAGAGTGGAGACAGAGGGCACAGTGTTGGAAAGTAGATACAAAGGAGACCTGGTAGATATTGTGCAGTATTATCTATGATGATCATGGATATGGGACACATAATATACCACCATCCATGGTTATTAAATAGTATCAGAGATGACAGTTAGGGCAATGATCTAGAATCAGATTCCAAGAACATATATGGTTATCAATACGATGAGAGTATATGTAGGAGCATAATGTTTAGCAATGAGGTAATGTAAGTATAGTATAGGATCACTTGTGCTTATCAAACAACAGGGCTGACACAGATGTAAGAGGTTCTCTGTGGTCATTGTAATGGTGCTACAGAAATGATGTATGACCTGAATACAAAGTTCTTTGAGAACATGAAGCAGACAAACCTTACCAACATTAATTAAATATCAGGAGAATAACATAGATATTACATAACATTGTCAAAGTTGTCAAAGATCCTGCCAGTGTGGTGTTTTATGTATGCATGTGTTACTATGTAGATATTCAAATATCCATATAAGTATGTAATAATATATAACCATTAAAAAGATAGCACGTATCAGAGCAGGATTATTAAGGAGTTCGTATAGACAGAGTATTATCATGCAGAGTACAGCATCATATAAAACTCCAAAAGAGGTGACAAAGTGACAAAGATGCATTCTTCTCAGTGAAGCTCCATAGATGATACTTTTCCAAGGAGCTGATGCACACTCGTGTATCATATGCTTCTCACAGATGACAGTGTGGTGTTAAATGGGGAGTTGTAAGAGATGAGGTAAAAATTGTCTAGTGCTGAGTGTTTATTAAGATTATACAACAGGCACAAGGTAGCCTCATAAAAATTCTTGTCTAGAAATAGCTCAGACACAATAAATCATCATAGGTGGTTCTCAAAGAGATGATGAAGTAGTATATCGTATGTAGTTATCATGGAGATGATCCACTGTTTAGTATCACAAAATGTTACCTAAGAACTGATATATGCACAGCACATCAATGCAGTTAGTTGTTCATAACATGATACAGAGGATGTATACTTTGCATGCATATGGCTCTCAGATGATACAGACATGGGGCAATATCAGACATGATTTTTAAAAAGATAGTTCAGAGGTTAAGAGCACTGGCTGCTCTTGCAAAGGACCTGGGTTTGATTCCCAGCACCTACATGGTGGCTAACAACTGTCCAACTTCAGTTCCAGAGGAATCTGAGGCCCTCTTCTGACCTCCATGGGCTCTGCATGACATGTGCACTTACATATATGTAGGCAATACATTCATACACATAAAATAAAAATAAATAAAATATATTAAAAAGACAATTCAGATGCAATGTGTCATCACACATAACCATCAACAAGATTATGCAGATGGTGTAGTGTCTACATGGTCATCTGGAAAATGATGTGGGCATCCTGTAGTATCTTACTTGATTACTTGATAGATGTAGTACAGTACAATGTGCTATCATCAAATGACATAGATGCTGTAGTTTAATTATTTGAGGATATGGTGCAAGTATTGCCCAGTATCAACTATGACTTTAAAAATGATAACATGGTGTATGTAATAATGTGAGTTCTAAGGACATGATGCAAAGACAATGCAAAATAATACATGTCTTTGGGTAATGAGGGTCAATGTAATGTTGGCACTGCTCAGCAGAGAGATGACACGTACAGTGTAGAATTACACTTGGCATTCATTCATTGAGAGACTCCTAGCATAGTACCTTATACATGATTACCAATAAGATGGCACAGGCATTATGTAGGACCATAAATGATAGTCAAAACAAGTGCACAGAATAGCACTGGATATGCTTATCACAAAGATTTGACAGACATTGGAAAGAGTACAAAAGTCAGAAAGAGAGAATACAGATTTATTATGGAATTATCAATGGATTGTTGTCAAGCTGATAAGACCAACAGATCGTAGCATCATTCATGATTATCAAGGAGATGGCCCAGAACATGGTACTATGTTGCTACTTAAGAAGATACCAAGACCTGTACATGAAGGAGGTGACACTGACAATGTTAAACATCCCACGTGATTATCAAGAATGTGACATAGATCCAAGCCTTGTGGCACAGACTACAAATCCCACCATTCAGAGACTAAGGCAGAAAGACCACAAGTGCAAGGTCCATCTGGGCTACAGAGCAAATTCAAGTCCAACCTGGACACAGTAATCTTGTCTCAAAATGAAGGGAGGGCTGGGATACAGCTCAGTGGTGAAGTGCCTGATGATTAGACTCTAGAGTCAATCCTCACTACCACAAACATAAAAATCAAAAGTGACATGGACACACTGTAGTGACATATATGGTTGTTAATGGAAATAAGGCACATGTTTCCACCATAGCAGGGCCTCAGGGAAATGACCCATGGTATAGAATCATTTGCATTTGTAAAGGAAAATACAAACCCCTCCATAAAATAAGCTCATGAACTAATTAATTACCTACCATCCACTGATGCTGTTGCAATCAATTTTCCTGTGTAATCAAAGCAGCTATCTAAAATTTCATCATCATGGCCTGTTAAAGTTGCCACATATTTTCCATCTGTAGCATCCCACAACTGAAATTTAAAAAGAAAAAAATTAAAATCACCTTAGCAACTAAACTCCTCTCCAAAGTGTGAAGATGGCCAGTGATCTTCATGACAGGATTATGTCTAGTTAAATAACCGAAATTGAGACATTTAGAATTTTCTACAATTCTAGTAAGAAAATAACATTGCATATATATATATGAAATTACACACACGCACATATATATATATATATATGTAAAACAAGCCAGGCATGATAGTACATGCCTTTAATCCCAGCACTTAGGAGGCAGAGGCAGGTGGTGGACTCTATGAGGCTAGCCTCGTTGGCATAGCAAGTTCCAGGCCATCTGGGGCTACAGGGGGACCCTGTCTCAGGAATAAAAAGAAGAAAATAAAAAATGAAAACAATCTTCAGGTGTGTGGCATGAAGGGATCATTTTTGTAACAAAACTGTTCAGATGATAAGTGGTTTGATCCCAAACTACAACGTCAGAAAATAAAAAATCCATTATGATATTTGAATGTTTTGGGTAATAAATCAAATGATAATCAAGTGAGTATAAACTCTCAATTATTTTCAAAAAGCAAAAGCAGAGAGATAGTTATTTCAGGCTCCTTGAGGGCTGTGTTAATAAAAAGTTAATAAATGAACAGTAGGACACTGAAAAAAATAATGTGGCTTTTTCAAATGAGATCTTTAATACATTTGAAGTAATCAAAATTGTTTTTCCACTTCATAATTCCTTCAAAGTTGGAAGATCCAAAACTTGAAGTAAAAACTAGCAAGTATTATCTATAAGTGAGTATCTAATTGTCTGACATCTGTGAAGTCTGTTGGTGTGATGATGAACATCTGACACAGTAAGAGGCACAGGCTCAGTATGGAGCAAGGTTTCCTCTGAGCTCACCATGCAGGTCTTGTCCATGGAGGCTGTCAGTATTAGAGAACAATCCCAATTGAATAGGGCACTGCTGATCTCAGCACGGTGACCGATGAGAGTGTACACCTTCCTGTGGGATGGAAATAATTACAGCTGGTAAAAAGATCTTGTTCTGGTTTCATTGCTGCTGCTGTAATAAAACAACCTGACTAAGAGCAACCTAGGGGATGAAGGGATGAGCATCCCGACTTACGGGATGAAGGGATAAGCATCCTGATCTAGGGGATGAGGGGATGAGCATGCTGACCTAGGGGATGAAGGGATAAGCATCCTGACCCAGGGGATGAGGGAATGAGCATCCTGACCTAGAGGATGAGGGGATGAGCATCCTGACCTAGGGGATGAGGGGATGAGCATCCTGACCTAGAGGATGAGGGGATGAGCATCCTGACCTAGGGGATGAAAGGATGAGCATCCTGACCCAGAGGATGAGGGGATGAGCATCCTGCTCACTTCTTCTGCTCAGGTCGCTTTCCTCTCTCTTACACAATTTATGACCCAGCCCAGGACATGGTGCTGCCCACATTCAAGACAAGTCTTCGCAGCTCAATTAATGATCAAAACAGTCCCCCATAGACATGACCACAGGCCGTCCTACTCTAGAAGATTCCTCATTGAGCTTCCCTCTTCCCAGGTGACTTTAGGTTGTGTCAAGTTGACAATAAATAAATAATAAATAAATAAATAAATAAATCATGAATGTTTACTAATAAATTTGTACACAGCAAAAGCAAGCCCATCTGTGTAGACTAAATTTTGATATTTACAAAATGACATTGTTTATACTGAAATAACGATGGTTCTACTGTAGCTCAAAAAGAGAATACTAAAATAAAAGATACTAATTTCAACAACAACAAAAAACTTAAATTTATTCAGTCAAAGATAATATGACTGTCTGACTTACTCCACTTATGATAATCCCTTCCCATCCCAGACATTTTCTTATTTGATCAATAATGTATCATATGTTGAAATATCATACTGCATCCTATAAATACATATAATTACATGTTAATATACTGTTTATAAATTTTGAAACACAGTGTTTAAGAAGATGGAAATGTTAACTACCCAGCTTTGATCATTAAACATTGCATACATATAGTCAATTATCATACTGTACATATGAATATGTACAACTAAACTAAAATGTTTAAATACAACTTTACTTAAAGTAACATTTCAGAAAGGAATGGGTAGCAATTCCTCAAGGCAACCTGAAACTCTGAGAACCCAGGAGATGGAGGCATGAGGATCAAACGTTCAAGGTCATCCTCAGATACAAAGAAAGTTCGAGGCCAGCCTGGGCTAGCTGCAACTCTGTCTCAAAAATAAATAAATGAATCATAAAATAGTGAAAACAGATAAGCAGCTCCCAGAGATGCTTGTGTGTTCAGAAGTTGTGCAGAAGGTGACTGAAGGGCTCCTCTTTCCTGTCTTGTTGAACACCTCTTGGATGATGGGCCTTGTAATGAATCCTTCTATCAAAATGCAGACTCTAAGAGTGGAGTTTTCCAACACAAACATGCTAATTTGGCTAACTTCCTAACAACTAGTACCAAACATCATTAGGAGGGAAACTGAAGTTTTGAGTTAAATTAAGTTTGGGAAATTGAGTTAAATTGAGTTTGATTTATTCATGATAATCTGCCCTACCATAATAACCTGTCATTGAAATTTAATTATGCACTGCATTGAATAACTAACAGCTATATAATTGGATTCTTGATAACATTCCCCCTTTATGTTGCTGTTTGGTATCTTTTGCTCCAAATTTTGGGATGTCACTTATTCAATGAATCAGAAATATCATTAAGGAATCAACTGTGTTTCAATGTGTCCTATTGATGCAGAATGCAAATCAATAGATATAAAGTTAAACACAGTATCTTCTTAATTCCTGACACAGGTTTTTAAAAATCTGAAGAGTTAAAGGTTTACCTTCCAGTATCAGCCTCCCACACTATAACTGTGTGATCAAAGGACCCTGTGATGATTCTGTCTCCTGAGGTGTCAAATGATAAGGAAATGATTTCTGCTAAATGCCCCTGGAAAAAAAGAACAGGTATTGTCATGTGCACCCTTAGATAAAACAGTTCCCATAGGTACACTGAGCACAGCATCATCTATCGTGGTGGGTTGGGGCGAGAAGAGGAAGAGGCTGCAAAGGTACACAGCTTTCTCTCTTGGTGACAAGTTTGCAAGACCAGAATTTGGTGATGATCATAAAAGATTAGCAAACCTCACTGCCTTGCATGCTTAAAGTAAGTTTATTTACAGTAATAAATGCAGAGGGGAGGGACAGGTGGGAAGGTGGGTTTAGAATTTGTAGGACATGTTTGGGGAAATGAGAGGACTTCCTTCACATTGTCATTAAAACATCAAAAGGGCTCTCTTCCTGTATTCATACTAAATGTAGGGAATAAAACAGTACATGAAATACATTTAATGACTTTAAAGTGAGGATCCAAGTCCTGGTGCCAGCACCTTCCCAGGGTAAGTCCAGCATGCCCACCACTCCTTGACTCCCCCAGCCTCTTTCAACCTCCCAGTTCCCCCGCTACATCACTCCTCCTAGCCTGGGTACAGGCCCATTTCTTGTCTTGGCATCCCAGACACTGGGGCGAACCTCTCGGTCCAGAGCCACCACTGCTTCCTGCTCCTTTGCATTCAGACCAACTCAGGTACTCCCTGTGCCCCTCCAGGAAACCTCTGGGCCTGGTCCAGCCCTCACCTCCCTTTACTTCCATGGGTGGCACAGCCACCAGCTTCCTGAGACCAGCATCTATCCTGGGCCCTTCTTCTAGGCCAGCCAAGCCCCCAAAGACCTGAGGGCAACACCTTTCCTGGAGGGACTCAGACTGAGAAAGTCTGAGAGCATCTGAGCCTCATCTCATTTGGGCCTCTGTGGGAAATCCTGAAGACAAAAGCAATTAAGCCACAACAATATAAAATCAAAACAGAAAACCTGAAGCCTAGACCAACCAGCTTTTCATGTCCAACAAGTAAACCACAAAGGCACATAAAGTTTACAAAAAGAAGTAGACCTCAACTCAACAAAGGAAGGCTTGAGTCTCACACAAGAATCAGAAATTACAAAGAAAATTCATATGTCAAAGTCACAGAGGAAAAAAATAATAACATGAAAAACCAAAATAAAATCCCCACCAAGCACCGATAGTCCTTTAGAGAAGTACAATGAGAACTCCCTAGAGATAACACAGGACATGGAACTCAAAAGAAAAATTATAAACATGATAAAAGAATTCAGAATTTAAAGAACACACAAACAAAGAAATCAAAGAACTGAAGAAAAGATAGGGATAAACTTCTGAATGAATTCAGAAAAGCGAAATATTGAAGAATGCTCAGGCTGAAATGAAGAAGGAAGTGAAACACACAGTAAGCCAATCAGAAACGACAGGAGAAAGCCTGACCAATAGGATGAATGACATGGAAAACAGAGTATCAAGACCGGAAGATAAAGTGGACGAATTAGACCACTCAAGCAAAGATTATAAAAAATTGAAGAAAACACAAGAATGGAATATGCAGGAATTGTGTGACACCATAAAATGACCAAACTTATGAATCATAAATCAAAGGCATACAGGAAAGAGAAGAATCTCAAGATAATGGTATGGAACAGATCTTCAACAGGATTGTAGAAGAAAATTTTCCAAAATTAAAGAAAGACATGCCCATACAAGTACAAGAAGCATATAGAACACCAAATAGACAGGACCAGAAAAGAAACTCTCCATGTCACATCATAGTAAAAACACTAAACGTTCAGAACAAAGAGACTGCAAAAGAAAAACAAGTCATAGTCACATATAAAGGAAAACCCATCAGGATTACAGCTGACTTTTCAGTACAAATTATGAAAGCCAGAATAGCCTGAACCAAAGTATTCCCAGTTCTAAATAACCACAGATACCAACCCAGATTACTTTACCCAGCTAAAATTTCTATCACAGCTGAAGGGGAATGAAAAATCTTCCATGATATAAATAGGCTAAAAGAATTCATATCCACTAAACCAGCCCTTCAGAGAGTTCTGGAAGCAATATAAAGAGCTGAAGAAAGTGTGGAAATGCACAGCTATACCAAGAATGTGAACAAAAATAATAATGACAGGATTTAATACACATCTTTCATTAATAACTTTAAAAATCAATGGGCTGGACTCCCCAGTCAAAAGATACACACTAGTTGAATGGATTAAGAAACAAAATCCATCTTTTTGTTGTCTGCAAGAAACTAATCTCACTTTCAAGGACAGACACTATCTTAAAGTGAAAGGATGGAAAAAAATATACCAAGCAAATGGTACTAAGAAAAAAACAGGTGTAGCAATACTAATATCTGACAAAATAGAATTTAAACTAAAACTAATCAGAAGAGACAAGGATGGCCACTTAATTCTGAACAAAGGAACAATAAACCAAGAATATGTTACAATCATGAACATATATTCACCAAACTCTGGTGCACCCAACTTCATAAAACCAGTACCAAAGAACTTTAAGACCAGATTAATCCCAACTCATTAATAGAAGGGCACTTCAATACCCCATTGTCACCACTAGATAGGTCAACAGGACAGAGAATTAACAGAGAGACATCTGATTTAAACAATACCATGTATCAAATGGACTTAACAGACATCTACTGAATATTCCACCCAAGAACCAAAGAATACACTTTCTATTCAGCACCCCATGGAACCTTCTCCAAAATCTACCACGTACTGGAACACAAAACAAACCTCAACAAGTACAAAAATATTGAAAAGATTCCATGCATTCTATCATACCACAATGCAATAAACCTTAATATCATACTGGAAGAAGCCCTAATCACCACATGAACACATGGAGATTAAACACCATACTCCTGAATGATGA